ATCTCCCTCTTTCCCCTTCACCCGTTTTTTACCGAGGGTTTGATCTACACGCCTTATGTAACAAGGCCACCGGGCGAAATACTCGAGGTTACCCATTCATGGCTTTCGCGGGACATAAATGGGACACGAGCGCTGTGTTGGCATTCGACGTGGACGCATCGCTTCTGTTCAATCCATGCTTCGTGATAAGCTTCTTTGGACGAAGGCCACACAAAATTATCATCTCTACTAGAAACGACTTTAAGAGGAGGTACAATTCATAATGGGATAACAAAACCACCATGCAGATTGCTATCAGTACTAACAATTAACGCTCATCCACGATTTAAAGGAGATGTTTGAACTGGTGTCCACAGGGATCGGTACTGGCACATTTTTTTTTTCTTTCCGGTCTGCATACATGACATAGCTGAAAACTTGTACTTGCAAATCCATCTTCTAGATGGCGATTGCGTACTTTATTCACAAATGAATGATCAAGAAGATGAAATAATCCGCAAACATACTCTCAATCACATCGCGAAATAAAATGAAAATTGACAGATTGTACTAAATTTAGATTGAACCGTATTTATGTTTATAACAAATATAATAGAGAAAAAAAACACAGCCTTTTTTACCACGTAAACAATCTTAAAGAAAAGAAGAAGAGGTTTTTGAAAAGAAAAACGAGTTAGAGGTGAATTCTACAGTATCTTTATCCCATAAATCCGAATATCACGTTCGTTTTCCTCAATGATGTAAGTAAACGCGAGAAAACACAAAAACCTCCAAACAATTGTTACGTCATAAACAGATCTTTCGGCCGACAAGCGTGTGTCGCTCGTGTGGCCAGCGCGTGCAATTGCAAGCTCGCCAGGTATATTGACCAGCACTAACACCTGTAGTGACGTCTTTTTTTTTTTTTTTTAGCCTGTTTGGAAATAGCCAGAGTGCGCGTGCCTACCCTTGATAGGCGCTGAAGATGTGCAAGAGCGGAGATTGGCAAAAACTCTGGATATGGTACCACACTCAGGGAACGAGGGTCTTCAGCTGTACATGGAAAATGATGTTCTACAGCTTTTGTGCACGAAATTGAAAAAAAAAAATAATCTGGACATTTGTGTTTACATAAATGAAGACGAACTGAGTGTGTGTTTTTTTCTCAAGTACAAAACGCTTCAGTTTCCCTTTAGTGAAGTTAAAGTGTATATGTGGCTTGGCCTACATATAAGTCATGACCTCCTCTGGGACCTGCACATCGGTTGTAATTCATAAAACATTGAATAAACTCGATTATCCTTAATGAGTTATAAAATTTGGATACACTGAAACCAAACTATTAGCCTATAAGACACCGTACGAGTCCGTGCTATACTTCAGTATGCCAACATCGTATAAGTACCTCACACTGCCTGAAAAATTAATGAGCTAGAAAGAATGAAAGAATTGCAGCAAAGATTATATGTAACCGATATAGTTTGCATGATTCCCCCACTGATCTCTGCAGACTATTGTAACCTCTACCCTTAGCAAGAAGGGCACAAATCGCAAGGCTCAGGGTTTTCTATCGATTAGCAAACAACTTTAATGTTCCTCACTCAAATTATTGAACCCCTACCCAGCAAACGTATAACGAGGTTTATAATCACTGTAAACGCTTTGAAGAGTTTCTATCCCACAATAATTACTTTGAATCTTCTTCCTTCCCCCGAGCCCTTGATAAATAATATCATTTTGGCGCGAAACATCGCACAGTCAATTTTTTTTTAAATCACTTTTGATCAACTTAGAAGCACACATTACGACGTGATATAACATATAACTCCCATCAAGTGTGTGTAGCAAACCTTTCATAATTTGTAGCGAAATGAGCAGTATTATAAAGGAAATAAATAAAAACCAGCATGGTTTTGCTGTTTACACTTCGTTTCACACCAAGTCCGACGAAAGCCAACGCTACGACCGCAGCCAACACTACAACACTGAACGCTGACGTTGCGATCGTGTTCAATCTGTGCCCCTCTATGAGTTCCGGGTGGTGGTGCAACAAATTCAGCAATACGGCCTTGTTCTATAGAAAGCGTGGTCTTTTTTCTTCTACGTTCTTCTCACATACTCTCTCAACTTTGTTAGTGAAGAAGTCGGCGAAGGTTGTCTCACTTGCAGAAAGCAGAGGCGAGCAGTTCCCCTATGCCAGGCTACGTTTTAGAGCGAAGCTCTTAGGCGCCCGTTTCTGAGTTGAGCGGCGTTGCCGTCGCCGTCGAAGTAATCGCGCGGGTTGCACTATGGGACGTCACAGTTTCCCCGCTAAATTTAGCGGGAAAACTGAATTGGTGTTGAGGGCACGCGACGTTAATTTCCCCTCTTAATTTCGTGGGGAAACTTAACCCGCTAAACATAGCGGGGAAACGTTCGCCAAATTTCCATCTAAATCTAGCAGGGAAATATTCGCTAAATTTCCCTGCTGAATATAGCGAGGAAAGTTTCGCTGAACTTCCCGCAAAATCGGAGACGAGGAGGAGAGGAGCAGGAAAGGGTACGGAGGGGGAGGAGAGGCATACTCTTCCCTCCGTACCCTCCCCTCCTCCTCCTCAAGAGCTGCGCTCTTATTTCGCTTTACAGAGAATTGTAAACATCTTTCGGGCTTTTTAGTGAGGAAGAAAGTGCTTTTTGATGCAGCATCTACAAAAATAATTTTTCTTGCATTCGTTCTCACTTAAGGCATATTTTTCTTTTGATATCAGAGTAATTTTTGCAAGCTGTTTTGCTTGTGTACGCATAATTGTAATCAGAAGTAAAATAAAAATTACGCAATTAAATTGACTAGCAATGCGGTGGAGCTCTCGATCTGTACCGTTTTGAAGAGTTTCGGAAGTTTCTGGGCCATTTTATGACGTAACTTCGACAATTTCGTCGTTTGGCGTGGTTTTGCCGTGAATTCCCAACGATGTATGCGCGTGCTATTTGAACAGCCAGAGCGGCGACTGGGGTAAAATTGGAATGCAAACATAAACTTTTAAGAAAACTGGAAGTCCACCTTCCCAATCCTCACACTAATATAAAAAAAACGTGCAAAAATATCTGCCAATGCGCGTTCAGGTTCGTAGCCATGGCACCGAGCGTGACTAATTGCATTGTCTCTCAGAAGGGCTGGCCATTAGTACATTTGGAAGTCCTTCCGCCCCCCCCCCCCCCCCTACATTGTAAATCCTAAAAATGAGAACGTCCAAGTTTAATTGTACGTTCTTTTCTTGGACTCAAACCTATGTAGATACCGCACACACTCGATTCATCTGTATATATGCCAAACACTAATACAGTTTTAAGATGAGAGAAGTAAGGTATTAGGTATATGCAGTTCTTCGGCCTTCCAGACAACACAAATGTAAACTGAGGAAGAGGAGGAGATAGGAGTGTGAGCCGGCGTCACGGCGCAGAGCTCTAATTTGACGGATAGTGGGCAGACGAAAAAGAAAACCGCTTTCCTTCCTATCTAATATCCTTGCCTTTACCATGCGATCATGACGAACTTTCTGGGACATTGCGTGGAATTAGAAGTATTCAAGAAAGTATCGAAATCGCGATTTATTTGCATTCTGATACCCAGGCAATCACCCGTCTAGGGAACATTACGATCTTTTGTCAAGAATAGCATAAATTGACAATTTTGTGAATGTGGCCCTAGCCCTCACTGCAAAAGAAATAAAAACAAGTCGGAGAGCCGTGGAATAGAAACTGTACGTGTCCAAACCTTAATAACCGCTCATTTATATTTTATTATTTTCATCTAAAATATTCCCGAGGTTCAGCTGAAATTTTCGTTTTAATGCATGCTCCGAGGCGTTGACATCCAAGGAAGTTTGGGATGAATTTGATGATGTGGTTGTAGAAATAGGGTGATGGTAATATCAAAGTAGTTTGACGTGTCTCTCGCAACGGCTGAAGACATGCACATAAAAGATTTCGGGAATTAGCTGAATGAAGGTTCTTTCTAAAATGGACATATATCGGTACATCGGTACGTTAACCCCACGTTACATACGAGAAACTTATTCCAAATTGCGAGCTATAAATGCACTTTTCGTGCAAGGCTCGCCAAAATATAATGCGCTGTAAAATATAAGCAATCTGCGAGAAGTCCTTATTTCCAACGTTCATTTGTTCACGTTTCGACCAATGCAAACACGGCAAAAATATATATATCAACAGCTTCTACTTGAACATGTGTCTTTGCTTTTACATGACCTTATACTTTAGAAATATGCCGAGGGATTGATCTGTAAATTTTCAGTAATTATTTTTGAGAAAATTAGGAAAATTAATTTCCGCGTAATGTTGACAATTCCCGTGGGATCGAGGTCTTAACCGGCTTCCGGACCACAAAATAAATAGCAAAAAAAAGTGTTTAAGAAGATTTATGGAGAGATAAACGATTAAAAGTAAATCTTTTGTCAACGAAAGTCAATGGTGTTCAAATAATTCTTTTTTTTTTCTAGCTCAGTGGATTAATAGTTTTCAGAACTCTTAATGTTTCGGGCTTGTCTGATTTATTGAAGAAATAATTATACTCACTAACATTTATGGAATAAGGCAGACGAACACTTAAAAATAACGGAAAAGATTCAGGTGAGCTAGTGAACTTCAATCATCTGTGAAAAACGTGTTGAACAAATAAGCTAGTGTGCCGTGAAGTATAATTACACAGACCAATTCGAAAGGTCCCGTCCGAATCTGTGACCATGGTTTCGAAATACACGAAAGAAATGTTTTACTTACAAATTGATGAACAGCGAAATCCTTTGGCAATAATTAACAAACACGACATAGTAAATGCTTACTCTCAACTGAAGGTTCAATATGATTACGTATTTCTTATAGCATCAAAAATGAGTATACCCATATTGACAAAATCGTAGATCTGAGAATGGATGTCAGCACAGGTTTTGCTGCGGCTGCCAAAAAGCTAAAAGCTGTACGTTCATAATCGCAGTTTAAGTAGCCTAATTTTTCATTTTAACCAGTGGCATTATTTTGTTGGAACGTTACAATGATCGCATCGGCATTCATGGTTTCTGTGGCGTTGCTCCAACGGATCGCGTCTATCAGTGTACCCTGTAGGTACATATGTTCCATCAGTCGCTTACACATGACGTCTAGAGCGTTCATAACTCTAAGCTAGGTCTGGACGTCAACTGAGAGTTCTATGAAAGATTATTTATTGACATTTATTTCATTAAATATTCAATTAATCGATTCCGTAGACCTTCAGTCATAATATTAAAAAAAAACGTGTAGAGATCATACATGTTTTTAGACTCTTTCTTCTTTCATTAATGACATAGCGCACAAACTTATTTAAAACAACGCTGTGCTACCCACAAAGAAACTACAACCGGGCAACGAAATTTAAAAGTGAAATATATTTACAATAATATTTAAAACTTATATCTACGCTGGGTTACTATCTTGTCAAACGCTGAAGCCTTTTAACGCGAGCTGCAATTCATCAATGCAACGTTCCAAAATTGAAAGCGCCCACAGTAAAGCCGGCATTTTTTTTCCTCACATTTTTGCCTCAGAAACCAACCGATTACCCGGATAAAAGTTGATTTGCGAATGACACATAATTTGATTAGTTGGAAGGTTAATATTGATCAATTGCCCGGCCCTCCTTGAAATCTCTCGAAGATTGTCAGCGTCAGATTCTTGCAGTCATGGTCGAAGCAGCAGAAATTAAACGAGAAAACCAAGCGCTGGGTTTCTCTGCATTGATCCTCGTTCAATTTGCATTGATTTCCATTGCGAACATTTACAAACTATCCAACTATTTTATTCACCTAAATTCTCATAATGAAATGCGAGCTAAAAACGATCGCCGAATTTTTTGACTAGTTACATTTTTGTATTTGTTTCAAATTATATATAACACCCCCCGTTGTGTTGCCATCTTGTTGATTTAAAGAGAGTCAAGGAGGAACTACATCCAACAATAATTGGCAAACATGCAACAATGTAAGGTTGTTAAGACAATAAAATTTCTCCTAAAATGACTTAGGTCATAACCGAAATACCTTTAATTATTCTGAGAGATTTCCGCTTCCGGTGACCTAAAAAGCACAAGTAAACTTTTAAATGAACGAGATTGAAAAGTTTTTTCTGGTGGACCCAATTTGTGTTCATCAAATTAAAGGTAATTCCTCCATTATAGGAAAATAATACAAAATATAAAAACGTGTGGTGGCCTTAAGGTTAACAATTAAATGCTCATTATGCATGTGCACAAAATATAGATATGAAGTATTTATGATTTTGTTAATTGCTATTTAATTAAGGGATGAGAAGATGATCGTAGCCACAAGACAATTTTTAGTTTTTCTGCGACGTTCCTTTCATGAACCCGTCTTTCTTGTCTGCATTATTTTTTTTTTGTTTCTAAACTGGGCGGAGGTCTGGCTGACCGTTTTAAAATGACAAAACAACACGCTCACTTAAAAGTGTGCACCAAATCTTTCTAACTAGACGTAAGCTCCGTTTTTATATTTGTAGATGCTTATATATTATATAGGTCTCAGACATTTTAGCGGCTTATCCGGTACCATTAGGCGGTAAAAACGGTAGCGGCCACAGAGTTGCCCCATTCGAAAAATCAGAAGCACTCCGGAAAAAAATAACTACCAAGAGAAAAAAAAAAAAAACTATGTGCGATAGACGAAGAAGTTCTACAGAGTTAATCGTGTTTCTTTTTGTTGTGTACTTTGAAACACAAAACACACAACATACAAAAAATTGTAAAGAATCATTTTTTATTTCTATCCCTAGACAAGAAAACCCTCCTTTCTCTTCTTTTCTTTATTTTGGGTGGATGGGGGGGGGGGGGGGGGGGGGGGGGTCCCGATCCCTCGCTCTGTTGGTGACAGAATCACGTGACTGCCGGGGAATCAATAATGCACTTTTCGTCTTTCTTCTCTTCCTCCACTTTGCTTTAGTCTCCCCATTTTTGTGACTACTTTTCCCCCTTTTCCTATTTTTCTCTTTTCGGTTTGGGGCAGGGCTATTCTCTCGCTCACCTCCTCAACTTGGGGGAGAAAATGCCCCTGAAAGCGGAGCGGTTGTTGGGGATCCCGATTGATGCGTGATGGGAGAGTCCGGCCCACCCCGCTGATGCGTGCTCCGTTGGGGATTCGGGAATGAATCAAGGGAATAGACAGACGGCAAGGGGGAGCTCCGCTGGGGGTTTCGGAATCGCGAATGTAAACGAGGGTGGGGAGGGTGAAGATGCGTGTCAGGAGTCGGGAGTCGACGCGTCACACGACGTGACTACGGTTGAAGCGGATCAAACAGGATAATTCCTTTTTGAGGACAATGCATGAGCAGCACGACGTCACATGACGTCATAAGGTTAACACATCTTTGTTACGTTTCGGGGAAAAGTAGCACTGGCAATAATATAAACTGCAACGTCAAGAAAAGTTGGAGGTCAAACAGGCGAGACATATATGGATTAGTTTTTCCCTCCATTAAATGAAAACTGCAAAAGGAAAAGAAAAACATTCATGAAAAACGAGCAGCGTTTTGCATCCAGAAAAAGCGGCCACGTAATCTGCTGGTGATTATATGTCGCCAATATCCACCAGAGTCACTCGTAGGTTTGGCAAAGCAAAGGTAACGCTCTGGGTTCCAAACATTGTGAGTGTTCGGCCATTGTCGTCATTGCAGCGATTCGACCCAAGGTCTACTCGAGTCGTCGATTGTCACGAACTCAAATCGAGTTATTCACTCTCTATGCCCCATTTAAATTTCGTCATGGGGAGATAATGCTGATGGGTACATCGAAACAGCGACCCCTTTGATACGTCATTACGCTTCGCGAAGTAAAGATATATTGAAAAAATGAAAGACCTTTACCAATCTCTGTAATCCGAAATTAGACCGCAGCTCTTAAGGAGGAGGGGAGGGTATGCCTCTCCTCCGTTCCTCCTCTTTCTCTGTACTCTACCCTCCTCCTCCTGCGTCCCCTCCCTTCCTCGTCCTTCGTACCTTCCTCTCCTCCTCCTCCATACCGTCCCCTCCTGCCACAGTTTCCCCGCTAAATTTAACTGGAAAATTGACGCCACGTGACCTTAACACCACTTCAGTTTCCCCTCTTAATTTAGAGGGAAAAATGACGTCACATGACTGCGTGTGACGTCACCCATGAACAAATTTAGTTTCTCCGCTTGATTTAGCAGGAAAATTGACGTCACCTGACATCAACACCAATTCGATTTCCCGTTAAATTTAGTGGGCAAACCGAATTGGTGCTCAGGCCATGTGACGTTAGTTTTTTCTCCAAATTTAGCGGGGAGACGCCGACGGTGACGGCAACGGCGCTACATGCGGAAACGGGTGCCTAAGAGCTGCGGTCTAAAAGTTTACGTTTATATTTAATATATTTCGCCAGTGGCGTTGCGTGCCAGTGCTAGCGCCAGTATAATTTTGCACTCACAAACATTTCGCCCTAAAATCATTGCACGACCCTTTCTATATATAGAAATAGCCGGTGACAATGGTAATTTTCAAGAGAGAATAAAGTTTGTCTGCCAATGTGTAGTGTTTTATGCCACGTTCTTAGATGGCGTAAGAAACCGGCTCCACTTTTTTACGTTTAGTCGTTTAGGCATTGTTTCTATCAGTTATTGCAAAAACAAGTTTCACACTTTGCACGCCAAGCCAATGTCTCTGTTTTTAGAAGCCCAACTATTTTTTACCCAATCCTATGTACGTACTAAACTGTTCTATACGCCGCAGACTCTGTAACACCACCCAACGCTTTCGACTTAGAAAAAAAAATCTACAAAACGCAGTTGTTTTTTTAGTACGTGCGCTTGAGTCTGAACAACAACTAGTGGTTGTAGCTAGTAGGGTGTGTTTACAACAAATGTCAAAGTCAAGCATAATTTTCTGAAAGAAAGACATTGAACGAGTGAGTTTACAATTTTCCTAATAACATGAAAGTTGTACATGTCGATCCTCTTCCTGCCTTTGAGTATAGGTTTTATATTACTAGCACTGAAAGAAGCCCATTTGTCAGAAGTACATATGACAAATACACTTTTCGCAGGGGTGGTTAGCGTAGTCACCCAAACACACATATAAAAAGATGTGCTGCCCTGTCCGTTACAAGTGTATCGCTTCTACGAAGCCAATGTCTAGCCGTGTATATTTTTATCTTTTCTGCATAAAAAAGAAAAATAAATTGAAATAATATAAATTTAACAACTTTCTCAGTCATTACTGTATGAACACAGATAAAAACAGTGTCTAAAAGTCGGGTGGTGCCGTAACTGAAGCCCCCCACACAAACATATACATATACAATCGTCACAAAGACCCCCCCCCCCCCACACACACACACGCAAACACCCATAATAGTATCCTATATATGAGCGCACACACATACACATACGTGCACACAGAAAAAAACGCGCGCACGAACACACATCACAAGAAAACGAAAATTAAAAAAACAGAGAGAATAAAAAGCCACATGTATAATGTATTCTATTGCTGGAATGCTGTCATCCTCTGGAGTTTCAATAATGGCAACTTTGATGGCGATGGGCTGGAGGATCAAAGTGAAGCGCCAGTCCGGGCATCGTCTTCTAAAGTCTCGAACAAACTCTGTCCGAGGAGGAGAGAGGGGGTTTGTCGGGGAGATCGAAATGAGGAAAGAAAAGGGGGACGGGAAGAGGTCGGTGAGGGAGGTGCGGAATTTGATGGGGAGTCCTTTCTCCCCCTCCCGTCGCTCGGGGGCGAATAGTGGACGTGAGGAGACGGGGGGCGAGGGGGGGGGGGGGGGGGGGGGAGGGGAGCTTGTGATGTGGGAAAATGGCTGCATGACTCACCAGAGTTGGTTGACTGAGCAAACGAGATAGAAGAGGCGTCTTTCGGGTCTGCCCTGACGGATCTCGGGGTCCGAATCCCACTCCCTCGAGTGTCCTCTAGGGTTTGGTTGTTAGGGAGAGTGCGCTTCGGGCGTCTGCGTTCGTCGGAAAGTCCGTTTTCTGGCGGGGAGATGCGCGCGTCTATATGTGTTTGTGGAGAGCGTCCTCAGGGCAGCGTCGTAAAGGCGAGGACATGTAATGATGACTGTTTGATCTGGACCTGCGCGTTGGCGGACCTTCATT